CACTCTCTAAGTTGCACTTCCTTTGTTTCAAAATAAAAGGCACAGTTAGCTTGCGTGCCATAACTTGAACTATGTAGTCCATGGTGTACTTTTCTTCTGCATCGCATCGTATTGTATCGTATCGTATCGCACTGTATCGCAGCATTTTAAATTTAGATCGTTCTGTATCGCACCGGATCGCAGGAGGTTGGAGAATCGTATCGAATCTTATCACTAGAAACTCCATGAATCGTGAATGTATCGAATCGTTGGCTGTGTATCGAGATGTGTATCGTATCGCCTTGGTGGTGAAGATTCCCATCCCTAGTTCCTAATATGGGGGAAAGACAGATGTTTGGAGATTTGAGAAGAATCCCGGTGTTTTTTAATGTTCCAGAGCAAAGAGAGGGACGTTTTCCTGGTGAAAGAGCATCCGGATCCCGGGAGCAAAGACGCCGATGAGGAGTATCCTAAATTTGGACTTCTGGACCAGGTAACAGCCACTCAGATCCTGCATGCTCACAATAAGGACGTCCCCATCCAGATTTTTACATTTCCGATCCGATCCCGGCCTATCAGAGCATGTGTTAAAGTTTAAAGTTATTTATCTACTTACTTAGTTGTCAGACTCATGATGCTAATGCTAATGCTAACGGGTGATTTAGGGTTTTTTACCTCTTTAGAAAATCACCAAAAACCTTTTAAAGCCAAAGAAAAAAAATCAAATCCCATCCCAAATGTGAGCTGTGATAGCTATTTATGCACTATTGAACAAAGAGGGTCACATCTCTGGTGGAAAACCTCCAAAACCGGCACAAATGGAGCCTTTTTTGTTCCTTCAAACTAGGGATCGGATCAGAAGGGAAAAAGCTGGATGGTCCCCATCCAGCTTTTTTCAGATCCGATCCGATCCCGGCCTATCCGAGCATGTATTAAAGCTTAAAGTTATTTATTCTACTTACTTAGTTGTCAGACTCACTTAATGGTTAGGACACAGACCTGTGGGTTACAGATGCTAATGCTAAAGCTAAAGGCTGTGCTGGAAAATGACTGGACTGGATTTCAGGGAGCAACACAGCAAAGTGGAACAGATTATTTTAAACTCAGTCTCTTTTTCCCCTCATACAGGACCTGGGAACCATCGGACCTTCTTACGACTCACAGAAGCAGACCACCACGGCCCCCACAACCGGGGGGCTCAACGGTAAGAGGGCCACTTCTCCACAGGCCGAAGTGGGGGGGGGGGTCTGGGTGTTTCCACTCCGGCTACTAGCTAACCTCCACACCGATCTACAGCCAAAAAACCACGATCAGGGCTCCCAGTTTTGCCCTTTTTTAACTCATTGACTGGCAGCCATTTTCAGAACAGAGTCCCATACTGCCAGAGTTTTTTGAGCATTTTGACTGATTTTTCCAGAGCCACAGAATAGTTTGTGCTATGACTATGTAAACACCGAACACACCAAAAGAAAGAGTAGACTCTCTT